CATAGCAGACAGCATTTATAGAGTAAGTGGATTTATTGTGTTTGTACATGCTGCATGTATTTGGAATGACAATGACCACTTCAACATTGACTCGTTTGATGATGATCTTTGGAGAATGATGGAACATTTTGGCCAATGGAAAGGTAATTTTTATTCGGAAATGCCCCATGCCACTACAGCTATGCTCTCAGGAAATCGACTTGGAAATGCAGATTATGCAGGCATTCAGGGTAGTGTATGTGTCTCCAGATGGGGAGTATCATATGCCCATGTAGGACAAAACCATTACTTTCTGGCTTCATCTTTCATGGCTCACGCATTGGGTCACGTTCTGGATTTAGAGCATGATACAGATGGCTGTGTTTGTTTCAGAAGGAGCTCTTGTGTCATGAATGAATTTCCTAGTCTTCAGGATATGCTAAGCAATTGTTCCCATAGTACAATGCTTACTCTGGTCAATGACTGGGACCCTTGCTTGAGTAACAAACGTTCTTCATATAATAACATAAATTATGCAATTCCTCGTTGTGGAAATAAGATAGTGGATGACGGTGAAAATTGTGACTGTGGTTCTTTTAAAGACTGTTTGTCTGATGAGTGTTGTGGAACAAATTGTCAGTTAACTCAGGGCAGCTACTGTGCTGCAGGAGGGTGCTGTGAATCTTGTCAGGTTGCTCCCAGTGGAACAATATGCAGAGACAAACTTGGGATTTGTGATCTTCCAGAATACTGTAATGGAGTCTCAGCGCAATGTCCCCAAAATTTTTACATCATGGATGGAACTCCTTGTTCTCCACTAGCAGTTTGCATGTCAGGAAACTGTAGTGACCGTAATTTGCAGTGTCAAGCTCTTTTTGGACACAAAGTAAAGGATGCTTCACCAGAATGCTATAGAGTATTAAATTCCAGAGGTGACCGGTTTGGAAACTGTGGGCTTAGTATCAGACGTGGAGGAAGCCGACCTATCCCTTGTCAAATCGAAGATTATTTATGTGGACAGATTCACTGTGATGGTGTCAGGAATGTTCCTGGTGGAGGTGAGCACACTACCTTTCATCACATAAAAATACCAAGTTATAAAGAAGAAAACTGCTTTGGGTACGATGCACACCATGGGACAGAACTTCCAGAAATAGGCCTTGTAATGGATGGTGCAACCTGTGGCCCAGGGAAATACTGCAAAAGTCAGAGATGTGTTTTTCATCAAACTTTGAATTTTCGATGCAACCTTAGTTCATGTAACTTCAGAGGGGTGTGTAACAACAATGGCAACTGTCACTGTGTCCAAGGTTGGCAACCACCAGATTGTACAGAAAGAGGAACAGGTGGTAGTATAAACAGTGGTCCTGCAGTTACTGCTGAGAAAAGATTTAAAGCCACAGTACATGTGACTGTCAACAGGCTAATAATTCTTTTAGGTACTCGCATGCTTCTTGTCTTGGCTTCGATTATTTCTGGTGCTATTTCAAAAGCAGTATTACGTCCACAAGCGCCCCCACATCACCCCCGTTAATAAATAAATGATTTCATCCCAAACTCATTGGAGCCACGCAATGGACAAATCCATGTCAATTACCAGAAGACGTTGTCAATGAAGTCTCTTGACAGTCATGTAACCATTCACAAACCTGAGAATTCCATCTTGAAATAAAATCACTGAGGACTTAGTATTGAATCTCTATGTTTAATTTTGATGTTTATAATGATTTATTTTAACTGTCTCTCTCTCTCTCTCTCTCTCTCTCTCTCTCTCTCTCTCTCTCATCTCCTCTCTGATTATTTCTCTGTGTGTACGTGTGAGTGTAGTTTCTTGTGGAGGCCAGACTTGGATCCCCAGGAGCTGGAGTTACAGGTTGTTGTGGATCACACAGCATGGGTGGTAGGAACCAGATTCAGGGTCTCTGCAAGAGCAGCAAGCACTCTTAACTGCTGTGTCAGCTCTCTAGCCTTTTAATTCCACATAATTTACCCCTTCTTAGGTTTGTTTTGATTTAAATTTTTCTCTCTTCATGTTTTATGGTGCTAAGCAGCACAGCCAAGAACCCAGGATCTTACTCAAGCCAAGTGAAAGTCCTGCTTTCTACTTTACTGTACTCAAACATTTGATCACATTCTTTATACTTCTACATGTACAATCTATCTTTCATATTTTTTCATGAGGAGAAAATACGTATTTGTGATATCCATTTTAAAGTTTTCTAGATGCTTCTATGTCAACTTTTGGCTGCCCTAGTATATGCTTCTGTTACCACTGTCATGGTCTGTTTTCAGTTGTATTAGATCATTGTCTATTTTATTGTTAATATAAAATAAGTATAAAAAAGACATTTCTAAAGCATATGGATGCACGAGGAAAACAGTTTATTGCCTTTTTTTCTGTGTTTGTTTTTCTCTTAACGTAGCTTTCTCAAAAATAACTGAGACTGGACTACTATATTTATTTATAAGCTTTAAGGATATAAGTGAGCATTGTTCCGCTATCTAAATTTTCTAAACCAATCTGGATATTAATCTTTTTTGAGACAAAGTCGTACTGTGCCTGGAGGTGACCAACTGGTTTAGACATGACAGCCAAAATATCTTGGGGATCCTCCTGTCTCCACCTCCCCAACACTGGGATTACAAGCATGCATCCAGCATCTCAGATCTCCATGATTGCATGTCAAGTTCTTTTCTCACTGAGCCATCCATCACCAGCCCAGTTCTGGACTTTTATTTCATATCTTGAAGATATGATTCTACTTTCTTGACAGTACCATGGTCTAATAAATGCAACTATGAAGCTCCCTTGTCTTCTGGCTTGCCTATGCTTTCTCCTGGGTTCTTTTCCCATCTTCTTTCTGTGTTCTTCTGGAATATTCTTTAATGTGACCGTGGGTATAAAAACCTTCAATTATCTAGTTAGGGTTTGGAAACTTCCAATCTGAATATTCTGTCTTTTGTCTATTTGAAAAAGTGAGCCTTCATCTTCCAAAATATTCCTTTTGT